TTTTTTCTTATTTTAATAATCCATTAATTTAAATTAAAATATTATAAAAGTTCAAGAAAAAGAAATAATTTTATCACTTAAATTCGATATTAAATAAAACATGCGGTACTTACATCGGTATATATCACTTCGGGAACCACAAATTTAAGCTGTATATTTTTAATTATACTGTAAATTTGAATAAAAACACTAATTTTCACCGTAAAAATGTCGAAAAATACCACACACATCAAAGATTTTCGTTGTCATCTGATAATTGACATAATTCGACAACTGACGTTTACCCACAGATCAATGCTATACGTTAGTGTCTTCTTTTTTCGTTTACTTTAAAGGCGTTAGCTGCTAGCACTATCCGGAGTGTTTTCTTTATTTGATTTGGCGCTGATAACTTATTTATAGGATCGGTGGCTATAACTGAGTTTAAAAAAGCGGCAACTTAGCTGTTTATTAATGATTTATTAATTAATCTCTCTATGATCTCTATTAGATTTTAATAAGACACAAAGATAGTGTTTGATAATATGTTGTTTGTAATATGAATAGCCTAACAACTATTTTATAAAGAAAAACGCATTGTTGAAAACGCATTTCTTTAATCTTATTTTTAACATTGTACTTATAACTCTTTTTAAACCGTGCTTTTTTTGGTTAGTAGATTACAACTCCTCAGTCTCTAGATGGATATTTTAAATAACCTAAAATTGTTAAAATTGAATAGGTAATAAGGTAATATAACACATAAAAAAATTAATTAAAATTTACCTATAAAACTTAAGAATGCCGGTAAAAATATCAATCCATGAGCGGCTCCTATAAGAACTATACCTAAATACATTCGGAAGTAGAATATTTGGAAAACCTGGGATTTGGAGAAAGCCAGAACGAGTATCCCTGAGAATTTGGTTAATGTAATACCAGACAATATCTGCAAAATAATTTTAATATAAATATTAAGTAGGTATATCAGTAGCCCACTAAAACATCTGCTAATGCAATAATACATTAATTATAATTAAATTATAATTTTAAATTGTAATTTAATTATAATAAAGTACAAAGAAATTATTGACAAAATGGCGAAGGCATTTTGAAAAACTCACAAAAAAATAATATCGTTAAATTTCCACAAATTCTCGGGCGGTGGCAGCACCGGCGGAGAATGCACCAAGCCTATAGCCACAGAACAGATACTGTTCTGTGCTATAGCCGTGACTTACCGAACTTCCTGTATTAGCCAAAGCATCCTGGGCTTTTTCTACAGCCGTTTTTTCGGTAGATCTTTCGAAAGAGTGCACTAAATGGCCACAAAACTCTACAGCTATACCTACACTCTATAAAAAATAAAATAAATTCATAAAAATACACATATTTTAATATTTCAAAGGCTTTTTCTTACCAAAATAAGATTGACTAACGATATCGCATTTAAAGTGATGTTCCAAATATACATCAAACCCAGCATATGCACGATTATCATCGCGACTGTGATTAAAATTATGGACGCCGCAAAAAAGCTAAATCCTGTGATTATTAAGGATACGACGAAAACGATCGCCATTGAGTAACTGAGATTTTCGATCATGTCCATCCATATCGTGAGGTACTGCTCGTAATATACGTAAAAAACGCTGAAAAATAAACCAAATTGACATTAAAATTATTTTGAATGTTACTGATCTGATTTATTGCTTTATTATGATCTTCAAAGATTTCTTTTAGATTTCTGTTGAAAATTTACTTTTCCAAATTAAACTTCTTTACGCGCGCTGGGAGTAAAAATTCAAGGCCGTGACACACGACTAGCTCGTGTGTCGAAACGTGGTAACGAAATGTGGTAACGAAAAGTATATATAACGATGTATATTTGTGGGCAGACCACGTGTTTATCAAGAAGATTGTTATTTTAATACAAATTTTGAGAAAGTGAAATTATCTGTTATTAATTTTTTACACGTATAAAACTATTTGCTACATGTAAAAAAATATATTTTACGCTTAAAAAAATATTTTTTTAAAAATTGTTGTGTGTAATAATGGCATTCGAATTCGCAAATGATTGAAAATTGATATTCGTTACATCACTAATATACAGGGTGGCGCCTCTCACGCCGCGGAGGCTCCAAGGAGAACGACAGTTTTTATTGAAATGAACTTTAGTCAGCATTATGTAGGTTAATTCAAAGCACTTTTATAAAAATATAGAGAGTTCTACAGGGTGTCACGAAAAAATGTTACATATCAAAGTTGTGTTTTTTGTAATGGAACACCCTATATATTAATTGATTTTCGTATTCTGGGAGAAAAATAAAGGTGAGTTTTATAAGAGAAGTATATGACTAAAATGTAAGAGTTTTGACATATTTAACATTTTCTAGAAATAAAGGATAATTTTTAAATTACAATAAAAGCTACAATATATTACAATATACATATTACAATAACAGCATTACAAATATACAATACAATATATTACAATAACAGCATTTACCCGGTATACCCTAATATGTAGTTAAGTTAACTATTGTACTTTAAATCAAATTGAAACTTGATCTAAAAAGTTATACAGGGTGAGACAAAATTAATATTGAACATTGGTCACTTTTAAAAGCATGCATGTTACTCTCTTATTTTAAATAGAACACCCAGTATATTATTCCGATATTCAATAGAGAATTCATGTCTCTTCAAAATACTATTAAGGTTGCCTACCCCTCAAACAAGGATTTTCCTACATATTTTCATTTACATTATTTAATCTGGTAAGATCTTCATTATTTGATAAAATCTGGGTGGCTGTGATATGTCTGACGTTACTTGAACATGGCTGTTTAATTAGTCCAACTTTAATAACCAGTTATTATTTTGTGTCAGTGAAAACAAAAAAAATTCAAAAATTCAAAACTTATCCTACATCAGAAAGAATTTATACAGGGTGAGTTTCCCACAATGTTCTTTATGGGTATCTTAGAAACTACTGGAGATAGAGAGTCGGTTAAATGGGGAAAGAATTGCAGTTTTGTGGGGTCATAAATATGCGCCTTTCAGATTTTTGGAAAAATTCATGGCTTACTAGATATTTCGAAAAAAACAAATTTCGGTTATTTTAAAAATTGTCCCTAATTCCATTATAAGCTATTTTAGATAAAAAGTTTTCAGATAAAATTTGTAGATAATCACATCCCTAATGAGTTTGTGTTCTCCGATTTTTTCTAAAACCCGTCATTTTTGACATATGACACAAACATATGTTTTTTTTAAATGGAAACCATAGTTTGCCATGACTTCATAAAAAGCGCCATTTTTCAAGCTTTTCAGCGATATAAGCTATAATATGTTTTCTTCGAAAAATTCATGAGTTATAGCCAATTCTTATAATTTTTAAACAATTTCACTTAGTTAGCCATGGAAACAAGTTTAATCGTCTTTGCTCTCAGAAATGTAAAGTTGTCACATCCAAACTTTGTAAATTAAAATAAACAAAAATTGTAAATAATAATTTTTCAAATGAAGAAAAGCGAGTAGGATTATTGGTTCAACTTTTCTTGACCATCCATTTTCGAGGATATACGTTGACCGGCGAATGTTACGTTTTTTAGAGAATGGTTTTCAAGACATGTTAGAAAAGTTAAATTTAGTTATAGCCAATTCGTATCTTTCTTGACTAATTTCACTTAGATTACATGGTAAACTTATAAAACGTCACAATGTATTATTAAACGGTTCTTTACAATTTACATTACACAAACTAAAACTTAAAAAAAATAATATCACTACCTACATACATACACTTTAATTTATTTTAGAAAATGTTCAAAAAATCCGCCATTGTTTTGAGTCTTTTTAAAACTGAATTACTACCTATTCTCATAGAAGGACCGGTCGACTTAATTAAACTTCTCTCGTACCGCCATCGCCACTTTGAGTGCCTGTCTTAATTCATAAGTTTTTTTGTAAACCTTATTGTTAACCATACGGCATATAAAAAAGCTAAAATGGTGATCGAGGAGGCCCATGCAATTGGTCCGCCTTTTCCTATCCCTGATTTTGCATAATTATGATATAAAAACATTTCCTTCATTATTGGGGGGCGGAGTCATAATGAAAGTCATGTTGGAACCACTCTATTGATGCGCGAGTATCTACACGCTTTTCTTCATTTGAAAAATTCATATTTACAATTTTTGTTCAATTTAATTTACAAAGTTTGGATGCCACAGCTTCACATTTCTGAAAGCAACGGCGATTGAACTTGTTTCCATGGCTAACTAAGTGAAATTATTTAAAAATGATAAGAATTGGCTATAACTCAGTAATTTTTCGAAGGAAACTTATTATAGCTTATATCGCTGAAAAGCTCGAAAAATGGCGCTTTTTATGAAGTCATGGCTAACTATGGTTTCCATTTAACCGACTCTCTATCTCCAGTAGTTTCCGAGATACCCATAGAGAACATCGTAGGAAACTCACCCTGTATGATTCTATTAGTTAGTGGTTAGAATGCAGTGTGCATTAATATAGGTTTACTGACGCAAAATCATAAAAATTGAAATATCTGGGAAAAACTTTGTCCGAGGGGTAGGTAACTTTAATAATATTTTGAAGATATATAAATTCCCCATTGAACACCGGAAATATACACTAGGTGTTCCATTTAAAATAAAGGAGTAACTTGCTTTTAAAAGTGACTATGTTCCATATTAATTTTGTCTCACCCTGTATAACTTGTCGTGTCAAATTTCAATTTGGTTTAACATACAATGGTATCTGTAATTAAATATCAAGCTATACAAGGTCAACTAAAATTTAGGTAGCTGTTATCGAAATTTAAAATTTACTCTTCATTTTCACAAAATGTGAAATATTTCAAAATCCTTAGATTTTAGGTATATGCTTCTTTAATAAAACTCACCTTTATTTTTTTCCTAGAATCCGAAAATCAATTAATATATGGGGAAAGATTAGAAAAAAAACAAAACTTTGATGTGTAACTTTTTTGGGGACACCCTGTGTAATTCGATATATTTTTATAAAATGCTTTCAGTTAACATACATATGCTGCCAACATTTCATTTCGATATAAACTACCGTTCTCCTTGGAGCTTCTGAGGCGTATGAGAGGCGCCACCCTGTACAGGGTGATTTATTGTTCCGTAAAAATTAAATTTACTGTTGGATCTCTAGTATTCCACATGTACTAAGGGCCTGCCCATCGTGTCAGGGACGATTTCGACAGACGACATCCGAAATATGACAGAACATAAAATTTGCTTGTAAATTAAAATGACAGACGCATCTGTCACTGTTAAGGATCTTCCCGTTGGACATACTATAGTTAAGGATTATACTATTGTTCGTTAATACAGTACTATTTTCTTCTGAAATGTTCAGTATTTTTTTTTAAATACAATAAAATTGATTGTGACAGTGCGGAATTTTATAAAAAATCGCAAAAAATTACCTATATGGAAATATTTCTATCCCATCCAAATCAAGCGTCTTGGTCAAATTCTTAGCTATATATCTTGCATATTTTAGCGCTCCTATGTAATCAGCAGAGGTTTTCAAAACCGTGTGATATGACATAACTCTCGACGTATCGACAGTCACCAATCCTTCATCGTCAGTTGTAAAGGACACGCCCTAAACAAAGACAAATAATATTACATTCTTACAAAAAAAGTAGAAGAAATCTTACAAATACATAGATACAGAAAGATCTGAAAACAAAGAAACAGAACATCAGAACGTCAACGATAGACGTATTGAACGTCTTGTAGACGTATCTGTTTTAAAAAGTAAAGTGTTCTCGAATAGTTCAATTTAAATATTTTAAATAGTTTTTTTCTTGATTCTTTATATTTTTTTTTGCTTCCGACGACGGAAAGAGAAAACTTTCCGAAACGTTAAGCATTTTTTTTTTCTTTGTTAGGCAAATTTATTACTTGTAAACCTTAGACAAGGAAAGAGAGGGGACAGTAACACGGCAGCTAAAAGCGAGGCCATTTGTCACCAGTCGAAAGTTTCCAATGGCGTAGCATCAGATATTAGCTTGTACCTAGACGGTACAAAATATTTATTAAAACGTAAAACTACTATATCGTTCATTTTGAGTAATGCATACACAATTTTGTATTTTATAGTCTCAACTCTTTATAATATTAGAATATCTAAGTCAATTAATGCAAAATTTATTTTAACATAAAAAAAAAAAAAAAAAAAAAAACAAATTATTTATTTTATTAACGATGGTAATGTAATAACATATATTTTTAAACGCGTATATACATATATCCTGTATGATCGAAAAAAACGGCCAAAATTTTATTTTCTTCGAAAATCTAATCTGATACAATAATTATTATATTAAAAATTACATTATTATTGAATCGAAGCAAGGTGAAGGAAGCTAGATCGAATTATGTCATACCGTATATTTGAAAAAAACGACTCCAGTTGGCTTGTTAAATGACGATCTATGGCATTCCCATATAATTTCTACATATAAAATACATAAAAACTTATTAAAAACTGACATCGAAAAAAGACTGCGTCTTGCGTGGCTATGAAATGAAGATCGCTGTCATTTATATGTTAAAATTATATGGGGAAATGTTCGTCGATTCGTCATTTACAAGCCAACAGAGTCGTTTTTTTTCGACCATACGGTAGAATAATGAGTCTAGCCATTACCCTTCACACTTGTGGTACGGATATTCAATGAATAATGTTTATTTTTAATATTTTGTTACCTTCAATCACAAAGAATATCCTATTTTTAAGAATATCCGAATTTATCGACAAAAAAAATTAAAAACAATTCGTAGAAGTTTTGTGTTATTTTATTTATTTTTAAATGTTTATTAATTACTCACTGAAACTATTATTTATACACTTAAATTAGCAAATTGTTTGAAAGAATTTAAAAAATATATGTATGTAGTAACAAGAAGTAAGAAGTAGCCCACCACAAATTTGTCCACCCCCAACAAATCTTGCCAGGTAAATTTAAGTTGTATATAACAACTATACATATAGATTTTTTATCACTAGAATTTTTTTTTTCATTTTTTATTAGTTTACAATATTTTTTACAATATTTGACAACAATAACCACTAACTAACAATAATTTATACATTTTTTATATGTAAAAATGTATTATTGCAGAAATTGTCTTTCTCTGATTATAGTTCTACGCCACTGGTTGTGAAATCCGGTCTAAGTAGCAATATTTATAGTTCAAACATTAATTTAATAGGGAGGGATATTGAATACTACTTGGACTTTATTAAAAATAGTTTGTGTGGAAGGTGTAAAGGAGTATATTAAAGCATTTTACATATTTGTATTCTTAATAAAAAAATGTACTTTTATGACCACATAACAAAAGTTGTGTAACGATTTTTACCTGTGAAATATAATTCCAGCCACTTTTTCTCGCTTCGGCCTTTTCAGCCATACGCGTAACATCTACCATACTAAACAACACAGTTTATAAATTTAAAGAGGCAAAACGAGTTGTCAGCGAAAAAACATTAAGAAAGTTCGCTCGTGTCACCTCGAAATCTTGTCACCAAAGTATGGCCGCCGATCGAATTTTGGCCTCACTAACCGATCACGGGAGAATATGCGTGTTACCCGTCCCTTCTCTTTCCTTGTCTAAGCTGTAAACACAACTTCTGACAAGCAGCGTCCGTTTAGGTTTAACGCAGAAGTGTTTACAAAAAATAATTATTTTATTTTGTAGATTTTTCTTGCAGTGCAGTGGCGAAATGCCATAACGGTTTTGGAGATATAATATTAAAAATAATTAATTTAACTTAACTTGTGAACTGAACAAATCACGGAAATGTAGTTCTCACGCTTCAGTTTCTATTCATTATTCGTTAATGATCAGTCAAAAATAAAAAAGTAGAATGAGTTTTCACTTTAACTGACAGTACTGTTGCGGAACCGTCGACGTCTCAGTGTGGACTTCGACCTAACCTAACTATTATGTCCCGCCCTCAGATGACCTTAACGTCGCATTAAAGAAAAGACACCGTAATGATTCATTCGTTCTAGAAGAATCGAGTCCCACTGGGATGGACTAGTACATACGATAACATTCGAAAACCTTCTCTATGCACCTAACGATCTATGGACTATTCTAGAGTTCATTACCTGTCGGTATAAAAGCCGGCGGCTGTGGCCTACAGGGAGCAGTTATAAATATACCAGTGCAGTTGACGCGCTAAAATTCAAAAACAAATTCTTAGTTATAAATCGTTTGAAATAGTTCTATAAGTCTTTATCGTTATTGTTTTTGTTAATTGTGTTAAAATAATAGTGTTTAAATAAATGTGACTTTCTATCCACACGGAAGCGACTAAAAACGTAACAATTGGTGTCAAGTGTTGCGTGTGTGATAGACTAGGAAAATAAAAAGACAGACAATGGCTCCATTCTCTTCTTTTTTTTTCCC